TGTGCAAACATGGAATAAGTTTATTCTAACTAAAAGTAGAGTTGATCCTTGGCACAAATAGATTTAAAATTTTAAAAATACACATTTAAAATACAAGTGTTGCATGTGGACAATGTCAATATTGTAAGAAATAAGAATCATTTAAGAAATATTATACATATGCATGATCTCAAATTAAGTATCAAATTAACCATATCTGTTACATATACATCACAATTCAGCTTAAAGAGGACCAAAAAGACAAGGAACAATGAAAAGATCACAAGTAGAAAGAAAGACTAGTCTTCATCCTCTTCATCCTCCTCGACTCTATTCCGCTCAAGTAGTTCTCTTACGAAAAGCCTCCTGTCATAACCACGTTGCCGCCTTGCATTCATTGCTTCAATAACATTAATTTCTGGTACAGGGCCATCAAATGCTATTCCATCCTAAATAAAAGTGGCTGATGAGTTACGTGAATGTCACATAAAAAATAATTATTGCATATAGCCAGCAAAAACACTCACCATTTCCAGTCCATTGAGAATAATAAAATTATGCAGCACTGATGCAGCTCCTATGTGTTGAACAGTTCTTTCTATAGATTTACAAAACAATTTTTTTAGTCTAATGTTCCTGTTTTTAAGCAGAGCATTCAACCGCTCAACAGTGCACCTGCACTGGGAAAGTATAAAGTTAAAATTCCTATGGCTAAGGCCAAGATGACCATCATCTCTGTATGGAACCATTAGCTGAAATAATGATAGAACCAAGCTGTGAATATGAATATATATGTATACATGCAAACTCAAGATATATATATGGATACATACTTTGTCTGTCAACACATATGCCTTGTCTCCTACAATGTGCTGATCATTGTCAAGCATATCATTCCTCGAGTACAAGTACTTAGCTAGTGGACTTCTGCGAAATACTCGGGCATCATGCACACTGCCGGGTTGTCCAATAAAAACATCCCTAATAAGCAGGCGATGATCTGAGACAATTTGAACATTGATGGAGTAGTTACTGTTTTTGTCAACATATCTTTGCTTCTGCTCACGTGGAGCTGTGATGCTGATTAGGGTACCATCAATCGAACCAACTACTCCTGGGAAGCCAAAGTTCCTCTCATAGAACAGAACAGTCCTTTGCCGCTGCACAGCATTAGGCCACTTGATAAATCGATTTCCAATCTCACACATTACTCTAATAAATTTCTTGTAGTGCAGATGCACGACACTCATATCTTTCTCACAATTAACTCCGAAACTACGGAAAGTGTCAGGATTGAACATCATCCACAAACTCATTAATGTTGATTGATCAATTGGTGTACGCAACCTTTTGATGTCACCAGTTTCAGTTCTGTGGTGGCCTATCACATTCACTAGCCTCTGTGAAATGAAGATTGATCAATTAGTTGTGAAAGCCTTGTACACAAAAACATAAAGCATTACATTGGAAGTACATTATACATACATCAAAGCAGGCTCTTGACATCCTGAAATGTTTCCGAAAGTAAGGGTCCCTGATATTGCGGATAGTGAGGACTCTGCTATCTAAAGTATAGAACAGATTAAACAAATATAAATTATAGATTTCAAATTAGAGACTTCAAACATTAAATTTACACGTACAGGCTGGTTCGTCGTCATTTCCGTTCATTATGTAGCAGCAGCAGCGTACCAGTCACAAATTTTTCTAAGCGAAAGAATAAACAAACAGAAAATGTAACACCACTGACACTAGTGAGAACACGACCACACCGAGACTGGGCGAGAGGGAGTGAGGAAAATCGAGACCTTAGACTGGTCTGCCTCTCGCCAGATCGCGCTGCTGTCTAGCCGCCAGCCGCCGCGTACGCTTGAGCTCGCTCCAGTGCACCACTCGCGCGTTTTGATGTGTTCATAGTGCATAGCGAACGCAAACGGATTATTAAGTGCCGAAAAATCGCCGACCCTCCTCGGCGACCCTCCTTTTCGCCGAACCCTCCTTTTCGACCCTACTTATCGCTAACTACATATCCTCCAGACCTGGCAGCCCCGCTCACTCTTGGCCCAGTCCTCCACGAGAGCACATCTCCCGTACCATCCCTCTGCTTTGTACTACCTTGCACTAACCACCAATAAACCCTTGCCTACCCGACCCGTGTCTCCCTTAACAATAGTGTTCGAAGCAACAAAAACCTGACCTAATAAACAAACACTGTTTTCGATCCTTCGTTGCCGATCAGCCTCGCTTACAGTCAGTGCTCTCACAAATTTAGTCTACTTTCATCAGGCACAGCAGAAATTTGATAAGTAGTGAAATCGCGGAGAAATTTTAACAATACGAGACGCGGCGTGCACGGGCCGGGCGGGACACGTTGAGCTTGCTCTGCCTTCAGACTATCTTTTCACTCACTTAGGACGACCGAAACTTAGTTCGCAGGCACACTGGGTTGTCGCTTAACTCCTCCCCTTTCGATTCATTACTCGTTGTCATAGTTTTCGAGACGTTTTGATAGAATATGTTTGAGTCACGGTGGAGAGAGAGAAGGTGGCGGCACGAGGGTCTCCCAGCATAGGGACCCGTGGGTCCAGAGTCTCGACAGGTTGGGGGATTATCGTCCGAGTCGGGGCTATCTAACGTGCCGGTACAGAGTACCTGCAGTCGGGGCGGCCTATGCAGGTACCCGGTCCACCTCGACTTAGCTTGAGCGGCACCGACCCTCGCCCGGGCTCACTCGGCCGGAGTGTGCGAGAGAGTAGTCAGGTACCAACTCGTCCCGCGCAAGCTGAGTCTGGGCTTCCCACCTACCTACCTGCACGGCGGTCCCGACTGAAGGTAGTGTGAACAGGCCCTACAGTTGGCCCCGACTAGGGCGTTAATCCCCCAACCTGTCGAGATTCTAGACCGACGAGCAGACCCCTCGTGCCGCCTTCTCTCCCTTCACCGTGGGTTGAGTTTACTGAAGCGCTGCAGTCGGGCGCGGCGCGCCCGGCTCCAGCCGCGGCGCGCCGGGGCCGGTGGTGGGGTACCGGGCCTCGCCACCGCATGGGCATGGGGTCACCCAAAAGCGCCTCGCTGCTACCCCCTGGTCCCATCTCGTCGGTATGTAAGACAAGGGCGTTTATAGGATTTCTTCACTTTAATTCATGGGTGGTCCGCAGAACCCTACCTTTATTTCCGTTTTGCTGTACCCCACACGGGCATGCGATCGGGCTTGCCTACCGTCATTCACCACGGCGACTCATGTATTGCCCAGTGCGAGTTTGCCACCCGCCCGCACACTTGCATGCGGTACAGTATGAGCAAAATGGAGGACAAGCTGGGGCGTGCCGTAAGGGTTGTCGGTTGTCACATGCACTAGCACGTCAAACTGTCACACGGAGAGTAACGCGGGGACGCGCCCAACGCCCACGGTGAGCTACCGCTACTAGCAGGCAATCGCTGCCCAGGGAGGAGCAGGAGCAGCCCCCAAACTGCGCCATCTTGAGGTGGTAGTCGCGAGCCCTAACTAAAACGCAGATGAGCAGCGACCATCAGCGTTGAGACGGAGCGGCGGGCGGCTTACGAGGGGTCCCCCACTTCCAGCGGCGGCCTTAGGCCTCTATTTAAGGAAAATCGCCTAAAACCGGCATTTCGAGGAACTGCTTCTACAATCATTGCTCGCAAACCGAAAAGAAGCACCTATAATTTTGATAATTGCACACTGTTAAAGAAAACTCAAAATCCTGACTAACGTTTTCAGACTTTGCTGTCTGAATGGGGTTTTTCATACATTTTGTCATAATTTTCAGTGAACGTCTGAAATTTCAAAGCTGTAGGTCTGAATTAAGAGTTCAGTCAGGAAAATTTGAAAATTCAGAGTATTTATTCAGACGAAGGTCTGAGTCTGAAATTCAGGCAAGAAAAGTATGAATATTCAGTTTAGTCCCGGGAGCACACCTGGAGGATCAGGCAGGTAGCCGTCGGTGACCCCTCAGTCTTGTCGTCGTGGCCGTGTGGTCAAGGATGAGAGATTACCAATCCAAAGGTCCGAGGTTCGACTCGGGTTCGGCAGGAAGGTACAATATCAAATTCCTATCCAATTACCTAGAATACAATTCAACTTGAAGGAGAGTGGCGGATCTGGTTGAAGTGTTCTCGGTCAGAAGAGAACCGTTAAACCATACTCACACCATAGGAACGTAACAGCTCATCAGTTTTCATAAGGTCAAAAATGTCGTCCTCCTTCCGACAGTTTTCCAGTACTTCTCCTTAGAAGACTTGCTCGTGGATCTCCTGAGGACTGCTGGACATAATTCTAGCGGCACGAGAAGTGAAGCGACCTGTTGCTGGCTTCGGAGTACATTTGTTTCGGTGCTTGTAGAGGGAGCCAATGGAAAACATATTGCCACAATAAGAACAAGTTCCATAGTTGCTAGGCGATGAACTTCCTCTAACGACGTTATTTGACCTGTGAGCGCCAGCGTCACGAAGTATTCCAATAGCATCTTTACGATCTTTACTGCGCAGTGGGAGAGGGAGGATGTGTTTCACTTCATCTTCCTTACTATGAGCAGATGACAGGTGCTCAACAAGTTTGCAAAAACTTTTCCCACATAAAACGCAGGCAATTTTTTTTGACCAATGTATCTTATTGACACATCTTTTCTGGTTTATTTTTTGAACAGTGGTGGTTTTACTAGATTCAGGTGAGCCGTTTTCTTCTTTGTAGTAAGAAATTCAGGAACTTCAGAATCTTCATGAGACACAGGTACCGATGCTACTTCTAGAGCTTCACCACCACCTAATTCTTCACCATTATGTAATTCTTAACCATCATGTAATTCTTAACCATCTTATTCTTCACCCATATCTAATTCTTCTGGAATTCTTCACCATTATCTATATCTTCAGCATCATCTAATGCTTCAGCATAATCTAATTCTTCACACTGTTAAAAGTATTAGGGATTTTACAATCCAAAAGGCCGGGAGTTTGCAACTATAGGTTGGGCATTTCCCTTTTGGACTGGAAAGAAGCCCTTGCATGCCCTTTGTGCTGTGAAGGTATCTTCTGTATGCCCAGGCCTGTAAACTTACAGTAAAATGTGGCCACGAAATTTCAAGCACTGGGGGAAAGTTTACCGGGTGCGCAGGGAAGGGTTGCCTTTGATGCCCACCCACAGGATATTTCGCAGCCCGTGGGCAGGAAAGGGAACTCCCGCAGACAACGGACAGTAAATATCCCTGCATCGGCTGCAAATTTTCTCGCCTGGGAAGGAGACTTTCGCGTGGCTTGCGGGAAAAGGAGTCTTTCACAGCCCACTGATAGTAAAATTCAGATGAAGTGTTGATTTCGCGAGAATCGGCCATATGATCACACCTTCTGCTACAACATAGTTGTAGGTAGCCTTATACATAGTTCTCCCTGAAAAAGGTAAGGCCAATGAAATTACACAATTGCATTGATTAATTCCAAAGTATGTGTTTTGCAACAGAGTTAAATTTCAACTTACCAACAACAATCCATGGGCTGGAACTCTGAGGAGCCGCCAGTATCTCTTCCCGGGTAGATCCGTCCTGTAACAGCCAAGCAAAACAAGATGAGTTGCCAAGCCGATCAATATATTTGGAAACAAGCACAAATTTTCCCCTGCTGCCTACCTCTTTATGAACAAAGATGAGATTCTGCCCTCTTTTCCTTTCCTGAAATTTGTGCATGGTTAAAATAACTGCACCAAGAATGGGGTTCACTTTCTTGCCATTTTTAACTATTGACATTGCTTCCTCAGCATTTTTCATTTTCTCTGTTTTTGTCTCTTCATTCTTTTCCATAATTGCTTTTGCTTTTTCTACTCTTATACTTTCTTCAATAATTGCTATTACTTTTTTCAGCTTATGGGTAGACATGTAGTCAATGTCCCTGTCAAAGTTTTGAACTAATTTTTCACAATGCCGAAACAAGTAATCAGCTTTAAGAAGCAGCGGCCATTCTTCTTTTAGCTGCTCAACTGTCGGGTCCATTTTATTGAAAAGCAAACGCTGATATGGGTAAGTTACTTCCATTAATTGTTTAACCTTATCATTGTCCCTATCTCTGGCGCTCTTGGATTCTAATTGTACTCTCACTACTGAAATCTACATAATAGAAACAACAACGATTTGACTCACCTGCCATAAGACGCAAATACTTTCATACGTCGATACATAAGTGGCACAATATGAGTTCAATTTCACAAAGAAAGAAAAAAATGGGAGAGTCAGGAGACGGGATTCAGTTGTAAACAAATTGAGAAGAGAGAACCACGAACACTCTCTCGAGCGAAGCAGCAGAAGAAGAAGTCGGAGTGACGTCATAACTACGAGACCGAGCGGAGCAGTAAACAACGTCGCAGCCCGTCGCAGAATCCGAGATTTTTCGAGCTTCATCACAATGACATGCAGTGGACATCAGAAATAATAAAAGCTAAGTATTTGGTTCAACCACGAGAGTAATTAAGAAGTTGTTTAGATTCAGCATAAAAGGTGTCTTAGATAGGTCTAGCTAGTCAGGATGACACCAAGGGACAGGCCTAACCTTCAGAAGGTTGCTGTGTTGATAAAGTTAAACTATGCAGAGGCATTTTTCTCTTTTCTATTTCAGTAAGTCAACATCCAGAGTCAACACACGGGTACAACGCCTACTTCAAACCGCTA